AAAAAATAATAATAATAATTTACTTGGATCGATCGATCCGATTAAAATGCTGAAACATCGATGTATCCAACGCTCGACCAAGAAACACTGGATCGACCACTTTTAAAAATCGGATCGACCGTTTTTAAAAATTGGATCGATCGATCCGATTAAAATGCAAAACATCGATGGATCCACGAATCGACAAAAAAAAAATGGATCAACCACTTTTAAAAATCGGATCGATCGATCCACTTTCCAGGTCGGTTTTCTCTTTCGATTTTCGGTCAATTTCGATTTATTCTTGGTTTATTTTTACTTGATTTAAACAGACAAACACATTTTCAATATCTCCAACCCGATTTTAAAGATCAAATCCCCTCTTTTCTCTTCTTCCATCGCGATTTTAAGGAGAATTTGAAAGAAAAATTTCATTCAATCATAACTTTCTCAATTCTTAACCAATTCAACTGATTTTTGGGTCCATATAACTCGAAATTTCCTCCTCTATCTGATTCTAAACTCCTTTTGTTCGATCCGCAAAGGTACGTATCCCTAATTCCAAATTTTGAGTTCGACGTCTTAGAGGAAATGGAGCAATTCGGGTTTGTTTGGTTCGAATTAGGTCATTCGATTGATTGATATGCACTCCTAGAGTGATTTTAAACTAAACCCATGAGTTAAATTGGTTGATTTAAGTGGTTGAAATTTTGTCAAAGTTTGCGATTTTAGAGGTAGAAAACGGAATTGCGTTAATGAGGTGTTGAAATTGTGGTGAAGTATGCTGTATAATTGACAAGATTGCTAGAGGTGGTGTTCATCGGTGGAGATTTGCAAAAATTTAAACAATTTCTTATGTTGTCGATAAAAGTTCGATAAGTATGGATTTTTGTTCTATTTTGTAGAAAATGACGCGACGAGGTGTCCCAGCAAAACATCGATCACAAGCTTTGTCTGATAGTGAAGAAGAACCAGAGGCTACTCCACCTACAAGGTTTTCTCGAAAGGCAAAAGGAAAGGGTATCGGTTCATCATCCGATGCTGGCGTTGAGGAAAGGCCAAGACACACATCAA